TGTTCTTTTGCTTTTCGTGGCTCTATGATAAAACCTAGCAGTTCTATCTGGAGATTGGCATGTGTTCGGTGAACATTAGCAAATGGCTCAAGCTACTTACAGCGGGACAGGGGGGAGACCCGACTGTGCACGGGTGAAAGAGAGGCACCACGATCTTGATCGCTCCTGAGCTCCGTCTTGTGTAACACAGTGAAAAACACCTGGTGTCGACTGCGGCTCACAGCCTTCCCTGAAGAACGTGTGTCGTTTCGTCTCTCTACTTTATCATCAAATATCCCTCAAATAAATTGATCTGCCGCTTGGTTTAGATTTTGTTATGCTGATTTTACGCCAGCAAGGCCCGTGTGAAACCAGGACGAGTAGAGCACTCCAGGGAATATTCCTACAGATGCTTTGGGTGTATTTCTGTGCAGTAGGCGTTGTGTCACAGAACCATTCCCCTGAACCTTGTCCATGTCTTTGTGTGTGTGTGTGTGTGCACAGTGCACAAGCAGTCCGGCTTTGACAAGGAGTTCCTGGACGCCCACAATGACTACAGAAAGAAGCACGGGGCCCCTCCCCTGACCCTGAGCCGGGAGCTGAGTAAGACAGCGCAGGCCTGGGCCGACCACCTGCTGTCAATCAAAACCCTGCAGCACAGCGAGACCGAGAACGGCGAGAACGTCTACTACGCCTGGAGCTCCGCCCCCAAGAAGCTCACAGGTACCGGCTGATTGGCTGAGCCGCCACCCAGCCCTTTCATTCACGATTTACTGAGACCTGCCGGAAAATGAGTACAGGTTTTGGATGCATACCAAATATCTTTTTTTTTTAACCATTACTTCCAATATATATGCATAACCCAGCAATGGACAAAAAACATAGTCCTTTCACATGATACCGTTGAGCAACAAAGTTTGCTTCTGTTGTAGACTGTATAAGCCTGTACTATTGAGAAAATTTGAATTTTGTTGGGGGGGGGGGGGGGGGGGGAGTTGAGTTTAGCTCTTGTGGGGGCGATGTGCCAACGTTTTACTGTCAGTCTTCACTGGTGTGTGGCATCAGTGTTGCCTCTTGTGCTCAAAGCTCTTCTCCTTTGTGTGTCTCTGGTGCAGGGAAGGAGGCAGTGGACAGCTGGTACAGTGAGATCAAGGACTACGACTTCAACAACCCTGGATTTCAAAGCAACACTGGTAAGGCAGGGGAGCAACGGGCCTGCATCTTTTTATTAGAATAATCTGTTAACCTGGGAGATAATGCCCAGAGCAGAAAATCACACAGTTGATGTGACTGAGTAATGGTTAATAAGTAAAAATGGTACCGGAGAGGTTTATCCAGTCTTCAAGCCCGGGCTTGTTCAACCCTGGGTCGTGGGATAAGGTGGTCAGATTGGCTGGTAGGTTACAGATTTCTCAGCCTGTGCGTCAGTCTTCTGGATGCTTGCAGGCATGTGTAGTCAGAGAGCCCCCACCAGGTGGCGCCAAAGCCCCCATCAGGCAGTGTGGTGGTGTGTACAGGTGAAAGGGTCAAGGAGCAGGCAGGCTGGAAGGAGGTTGTTGCCTGCTCTTTCACAGAACAGGAGTCGCTACTGTGAGCCGGGGCTTTGAGAAACAACTGCAGATTCCACTTCCCAAAACCGAATTGTTAAAGAAAACTAACTCCGTGTTTGCAGCAAAACATACAGCACTATGTAGATACCGTACTGTTTCTCCTAATTCCATTGGCAGGTGAAACATCACTTTTACTTTTAGCCTCACAATAATTCAAATCCCATAAATGGAGCACTTATTTCACTTGAGCAAACAGAGGGCTCAGTGGACAGAACAGCAGAGGAAACACTTGTTTGCTAGTCACTGCAGGTGGATGCTGCACATTGGTGGTGGTAGTGGGATTCCCCATTACCTGTAAAGCGCTTTGAGTGGAGAGTCCAGAAAAGCGCTATATAAGTGTAAGCAATTATTATTAATTATTACACCGCCAGGATTAAACAAATGTTGGTGCCGCTGGACATGGG